AGCCTCCTGGCGCTGGTCCCAGGAGGAGCGAGGGGCTCCCGTACCAGGGCTGCCTGCCGTGCCGTCCCCGCTGTCACTGCGTCCCCCGCTGTCACCGCCCCTTTCCCAGCTCCCTGCAGCAGGGTGGGGCCCCAAGGGCGACGCCAGCCCCTTCACTCCTCTTGCTCCCTCATCCCTACAGGGACCCCATGGTCAGCAGATGCCCCGAAGCCTCTCATTCAGGTCCCTTCTCAGTCCCCAGAGCTATGGCGACACCCTCTTTCCTTAGGTGAAGTGTTGGGAGTGGCTTGCGGTGCCTTTCTTGATCTTTTCCGACAGGGTCTTGCTATGCAGTTCAAGCTGGCCTTGAACTCCTCATGCAGCCTAGTCTGGCCCCAAACTGACGGTGATCGTCCTGCCTCAGCCTCCTGAGATTGCACATGTCTCACAAAGCAGTTTCAGCAGAAGCCAGCTCCGAGCCACCCCAGTCCACGAGGAAGGCAGCAGAGGGCCCTTGGGGAAGGTCTGCGGCTCCAGGCCCTTGGCATCTCCTGCGCTCTGTGGGACTGGACCCCCCGAGGCGGGCAGGACCCTGCCTGCAGCTCCTCCTGAGCGTGGAGTGCCTGGGAAACACCCCGGGCTCAGAGTGCCCGCTGGGGTAGGGACGGCTGTGGGAGACAGCGTGGGCCCAGGTGCCTGGGCGCGCCCAGTGGAGGTGGAACCCAGGGCCAGGGATTCAGCTCAGTGGTTCTGCCACCTGCCTCGCAGGGACAGGGAACCAAGTTCCATCCCCGGTACCAAAAACAAAAGCAACATGATGAATGTTTACCTTTTAAAAAGTTGTTGCAGTAAAAGACACATTGGAGTTGCCCCACCCCTTGGAACACACTCCTCCCGTGGTCCTGACCCCTTTCTGCTGCAGCTCTGGGGTCCTCTCCTAAGTGTCTTTATGAGGAGTGATCAGAAAGCCTGCCGCTGTGGAGCGCCATCCCACGTAAAGGCAGCTCGTAAAAACAGCGCTGTGTCCTCATCCACCTCTGATTCTTCCCCAAAGCCAAAATGACCAGGAAGGTCGATGTTTTAAATCCACTCAGGACACCAGGGAGCCAGGACTGTGGCCTGAGACACCCGTGGATGAGCGTGTGAAGTGAGGGGAGGATCAAAGCGGCTGTGTTTTGCCCACACCGCACGGCCTAGCTGGGCAGCATTACTGCTGTGTCCCGCAGCCTCCGGTGACGCGGGTCCTGCACCACAGTGTGGCCGGAACTTGGGGCCTCGTCCCCTGGAGTCAGTCCCTAGAGCCCAGGTGCAGAGACAGCATTCTTACCCCACAGGGGTCGGGGGAGGCTGTGTAGTGGACAGAAGGTGCGGGAGGGAGAGGATGGTCCTTTGGGGCCCGGCGGCACCATGAGCTGTTCACCGCCCAGGTGCACTTGTATCTGGATGCCAGGTCGGTCTCGTGAGTAGGAGCTCAGCCCAGTGTGAAGGAAAACACGAGCTGTGTTCCTTCATTCAGCCTCAGCTTATGGCAGCATCGCTCTGACTCTTCTCGGATAGGTTGAAGGTTGCGGAAGAGGAGCTGATCCACACCTCCACCGAGCAGCTCGCCCTGGAGAAGCTGTACAAGGAGCCCAGCATCTCCACCCGGCAGATGGTGGCCTGCTGTGACCGGCTCACCCTGCACCCGCGGCCGGCCCTGCGCGGCATGCACCTGTGCGTGTCCCACTTCTACTCTGTGCTGCAGGACGGTGACCTGTGCATTCCCTGGGACTGGAAGGATGGAGATGCCGTGAAATGACATAGAAGCCCACTGCGCTTGCAAAGAAATGGCTAAACTAATTTAAATCCACACTTTGATAGCTCAGTATCATTGCCTGTTAGCGGAACAGTTTCTGGCTGCTGCTTTAAAAGATCTTTTTTAAAATTATTTCCCAGGAGAAATACTAGACTAAAGGTATCAGTGAAGGAATGTGTTTTGGTGCATCGTAACTAGGATTCTCCAAGAGTTTATCTTCACATGCATGGGCTTGGGGCTGGCTGAGCACAGGGAGGTCTCGGTGATAAAGAAACTTCTATAAATAGTCAGAAACCTACTAAATGTTAAGGAAATACAGAATAATTGCTGTCTTTTGCTTCTGTAATTTGCTTTGCTTTGCTTGTTTCTTAGGACAACAGTACCAGAGGTTTCATCATTAACTACAAAGCTTGAAGGCACATAGCCCCAGTTTAAAATGTTATTAGATTAACAGATGCCAGAGGTGCTCAGCCCCACCCCCAGGGTAAGACCAGACGTTCAAACTAAGATAACAATCGCCATACCTTACAAGTAAAGTACACTTAGACCCTAAACTTTTATAGATCATATGACTATGAAAGAGTTACAGTGGAAAGGAATGCCACCAGTCCTGTTTTCCTAACCCTCACCCCCACTCTTGTGGGCCAGAATAGCTAACTAGGCGAACCCTAAAGATAAACATCCTAACCACAAAGGAAATGCTACGTTTGGGTTAAAATGAACCTGTCCTGTGACCGTGACATGGTGATGGGAGCTGAGAGCACTGGACTGTCTTCTCTCAACTACCTCCAATGAGGTCATGACTGTAAAACTCCTGGAAAAGGCAGGTCGTAACCCAGCCCGAGGGCGGTCATGCGGCACGCGGTGCAGGCCAACCTTTTGCTAGCAGAGTCAGTGTTTTTCTTTTACCCACTTTTGCATCTCTGTGTGTCATCAGTCAGTTCCCTCTGCAGCATCGGGTCAGCATCTCCATGTGACAGAGTCACGTGTCCTGTGCACACACTTATGTTGTAGGCAGGAAGGACTGCTGTGATGACGGATATGTAGTAGAAGTTAGATGACCACATTCTGCCTGAGAAAAGGAGTAGAAAGGAAGACCGGACACGGTGTTGACCGAGCGTGTGGTGTGACTGTCTGGAGCGCTCTATGCATCCTCGGTGACAGGGGATTTAATTTCTCCTTCCCATTACAGTACAATAGCTGTGGAGGCCAGCAGACAGAAGGCCCAGGCTCTGTCCCCAGCACCAGAAGAATAAATGAAGATCTTCTACCTGCTGGTAACATGAGCCCAACAGTCAGGAGCAGCTTTGCACCCCAGTTCCTGGGTTAGACCCTCCACGGGGCCCTCATGGGGGGCGGGGTTCTGGGGGTGGCGACAGGTGTGAAGGCTTAGAAGGCACAGGGTTTCTGTCACCCAGGACACCCCTGCGCTGTCCCCCCAGGGTTCCCTCTCTTTGGCTGTGGTCCTTGGGGCCCCTCTGTCACCTCGTGGTGTCCCCGGCAGGCAAGACCTGGCCCGCCATCCTCCAACTGTCCACAGGGTCCCCCTCGGCTCAGACCCCTGTGACCCTCCTCACAGGGACCAGCACGTGTGGCCAGGACACTGTGTTTGTGGCTCTCACTGTGGAACAAAGCAGGAAGCAGTAGAACATAAAGATGTTGAAATTAGTTCGTAAAGTTTGCTCTGAATTTACATAAAACATTTGAGCCATTTGAGCGCGTGTGTGTTCAAAAGCAGTATCGATTTGACCTTACTGTAGCTTGTTCACATTCCTCCCTTTAACTGCCAAAAAATTATAGTAAGTTGGCTTTTTCGTGTGACAGATGTTGCCACGAAAGATTTTCCAGAGCCAGGTGATGGCAACGAGGATCATACAAGAAGATGGATTAGAAAATTAGATGTGGATTTACCATTGCTAAAATCAGCTAATATAGAAGCTTCAGTACTATGTTTGGAAGTTGATTTTTGTCTCAGAACCATCACGTAATAAATTCTGCCTCTGTCAGGCCTGTAAGTGTTTTCCTGGTGTCCTGTTGGTAGCCTCACACCGCTGGCCAGCTTGGGCCCACCCGTGGGCACAGGAAGCCCTGTACGTGTGTTTCTGGGTAACACCCAGGCCCTGCCCACACTGTCCAGAGCGCGTCTGTGCCCATCTGGGTCCCGCGGCCCCTCCTTCCACAGGCCACCACCCTAAGCCCAAGAGGGCTGATGTGAGGGGTCCAGGCTAGAGGACACCCCGGCCAGATCACCTGGAGGCCCAGCTTCCCCAGAGTGAGGCAGTCCCACCACGCCAGACCCCTCCCGTGAGCCTGACATGGCAGGACCGGCAGGGGCAGGTGTCATCGCTGGTAAGAACTGGGGCAGGTCCTGGGGGACCCTGAGACAGAGTCCGGGGCTCCCACACTATGCGGCTCGGTCTCCCCACCTTTCAGGGAGGCGCCGGGACAGGCCTGGGGGCTCTTCGCACTGCGCAGGTCTGATCCAGGTAGCCGGTTCCCGTGGGTGGCCGTGGCCACCAGCACAGAGGAGCAGGCACCCCCCAAGTGAGAGTTGGCAGGTCTGGGTCCCTCCTTGCAGGCGTTCTGTATGGGAAGGAGGGCGAGGGAAAGGGCTGGACAGGAAGTGCTGGCATCTGCAGGCCGCCTGGCTCCGTTAGCCTCCAGGGGCCCTGCAGGCGCCCACACTGAACATCAGAGTTGCACACTGACAAGGCCGCGTGCCGGGTCCCACGCAGCCCTGGTCAGGTGAGGCCCTGTGCGCCCAGACCCTGGCGGGCAGGCTTCTCGGAGGAGCCCATGGTCTTACGTAGCTTTTCACCTTGGCCTTCTCTGCCCAGCACCGGCGCAGAGCCTTGGGACTGCCCTTGCGCATGCGGC